TTATAGATTCATAGGTAGGAACTTAAGACAGATGAAAAGCCATGATATTTGAGTTAATCAGACCTACAGGTCTGCCATGAGGTGGGTCAACAGCCTAAGTTTGGGAAGGGGAGCATCAAAAAAAGAGTGATAAGTTCGAAAGGTCTGGAGTAGCTGACTTAGGCTCTGGTCAGTATCCATAATAAGGAGACTGACATGAAAAAGGAAAATGTATTCTGAGTAAAGACTAAGAATGATGGTCAGATACAGTAGAAATCAGAGCAATTCCTAGAGGATGTGCTAGGGAGCAGAAATTCGGGGAAAGAAGAATCATTTCACCTTTGTCTTTAGCATGACTTGGGGTGAACCTCTCTTGGTGAGAGTGGTCCCTTGGCCAGATAACCAAAATGAATTAACTCTTAAGGGGGAAGGCAGTGACATTTCTCCACCAGACATAAATGCCATTTGTTAAAAGAAGCTTTTCTTTGCTAGCCGCTTTGGTTTATCCCCCACCAGCCGCCTGGGCTCTGCCGCATAGTAGTCCCCAAATAAACACAGAAGACACTGTATTAATTATGAAGCTGTTGGCCTTGCTTGTTTCTTACTGGCTAGCTCTGACTTAAGTAATTACCCCATAATTGTTAATCTAAGTAAGTCTCTTACCGGAGAGGTTTCCGGGCTTCCTACCCCAATGGCGTTACATCTCGACTCTCTTGTGTTTCTCCTTCCCAGAATCCTCCTGGACTCCTAGTCCCACCTATCTAGATTCCTATTGGCCAGACAGTACTTTATTGACATATACACAGGACTTCCCCAACATCTCCTCTTTTCTGTTTAAACAAAAGAAAGGTCTTAACTTTAACATAGTCAAATTATATACAACAGAACAGCTATCATGCAAGAACACAGTTACAAAATTTTGTCTATCAACATTCAGCAAGATTTAAAGAAAATATCATCTATCCCATCCTTGTGAGTCCAAAGTTATCTTTTATCATAACTAAGGAAAACTATAATTATAACTATCTATCTTCAACTCCATCAAAGACCACAGAAGGATAATATATAAACACTAGAAATGACAGAGATATCTCACTGCCTGGACAGTCACCCGAAGTTCCTCTGTAGCATTGGGGCATCCATCTTCAGCCCATAGGCCACAATGTATCCAGAAGATTTCTCAGCAAAGCAGGAAATTTCAAACTGTCCATCTGCATCAGCAGTCTGTTAGTCATTTTTCTGTCCTGCAGAAAGTCTCGTAGACTCTTCCATGAAGGAGTAACCCTGTAAGACTGAGTTTAGCAGTCACTTTCCTGTGGGTCCTGCATGTCCAGTTTATACAGCAACAGTCAGTCTAGGCAAGAGCAGTTTCTTGCCCAAATGGCTAATTTTGCCATGTTGAAAGCAAACTCCATAACGAGTTTCTTCGATGCCCATCTTCCTCTCAGACGTAATTGGTGCTGCCAGGAGCAGACATTTCTCATTGTCAGGAAAAACCCTAAACCATTTTAAATGCCATTTTCTGAAGGTCTTTGAAAGGTTTGAAGACTATCTATCTGTCTCAAATACATCTCTATATATCTAGAAAACCTAACTTACCTAACTATAAATTCTGACTATTATAAGTAAATATCTATAGTCTGTATTCAATTATGCATTATGTTTTAAAAGATCAGTATAAGCACAATACTTAATCAAGAAGAGAAATATACATATCACAAAATTGACCTTGAATTCATATCAATAAAGGAAAAACAATACCCATAACATAATTCTCCTTTTTACCATTAACAAGAGATCGGCTGTGATCATTAGCCAATTATAAACAATCCCATTGAAATGAAAACAAAGATTTATAAACAAGATGGGAATTGGGACGTCGCTCATTCCAAACTGCTTCCTGCTGGAAGGGGGCGCTGTTTAAACCCTGGGGATCATGACAAAACTCAGAAACCTGTATAAGTCCTTATTTTCAGGGTCTGTAAAGCTGCATCATCTTAGCCGTCTCAATTGTTGGAACACCTGGTCCACTGCTTCTGGGGGTCTTGATTCGTCAAACCACAGAAGCCTGGAAGGAATCCTCAGCTTTTCATTTTCTGTAGAAACATAAGCAAAAACTCCTTTTCCCAGTAACATATCCTTATACTTAAATTTTGAAGTCAAGGCATTTTCAAAAGATAGAAGTTGGATTAATTCAGCAGCATTTATAATCAAGTACTTTAGCAGCTGTTCCTTCCTTAGCAATCAAAAAACTGAAAAACACAATAGCATACAGTATCCAGACTCTCTGTGTATTTTCCATCTTTACATGGCTTATTTATTTATCTATTAATACTTTATTTCTTTCACTTTTATTTATTTTTCTCTGAGACAGGGTTTCTCTTTGGAAACCTGCCTGCCTCTGCCTCTGGAGCAATTCCTACCGGCGTGCGCCACCACAGCCAGCTTTTGTATTTATTTACCACTTTGCCGTTTCATTTTCTCTCTCAATCTCACGTATATTTTTAAACACACTGTAAACCTTTAAAGGTTTTGTTCATCCAAGTCTGACTTTACTGTAAATCTTTACGTTTTTCTGGCCACGTGTCTTATCTGTAAAACCGCGGCTGTTTTAAACTGCTGTTTCCAAGATGGCAGGCGTAAGCATGACTCCAGCTTACCGCCTCAGTCCATGCTGACATCCAGCAAAAGCTGCCACTTCCAGCTGCACATACACCCCTTTAAATCGTTAGCAAGTCTCTTAAAACAACCTTGTTGGTTTTTTTTTTTCTTTTTATGCCCAGTCAGGAAGACTCCGGTAAGCGCGTGACGTGAATCTCGGCTTGTTGCTAGCAAAACAGAGCACACCTGAGAAAAATGCTGCTACCAAAATCTGTGCTTCTCTCCGTTCTTCTGTTTCTAAAATTCCTTTAAAGCTTTTGTCATTCTACGTGGAAATTCAATCCCACTCCTGATCACTATTATGTTACGAGAAGCTTTTTCCTTGAGAATGAGTGGTTCCGCCAGCCTGGTTCCAGAGCCGCTTTCCCGCCAGCCTGGTTCTAGAGCCGTATCAGTCCCAAATAAACACACAGGAGGCTATATGAATTATGAAGCTGTTGGCCTTGCTTGTTTCTTACTAGCTAGCTCCGACTTAAGTAATTACCCCATAATTGTTAATCTAAGTAAGTCTCTTACCGGAGAGGTTTCCGGGCTTCCTACCCCAATGGTGTTACATCCCGACTCTCTTGTGTTTCTCCTTCCCAGAATCCTCCTGGACTCCTAGTCCCACCTATCTAGATTCCTATTGGCCAGACAGTACTTTATTGACATATACACAGGACTTCCCCAACAGCCATTCTTTTAGCTAGGAGGCTACAGCTTTCCCTTGTCAAGTTTTCTATGTTACTGTACCTCCCACATATTTAGTGACGACAAACTTGCTTCCAAAAAATATCATTGTTTATTGGATGCTGAGAAATAGAAAAATAGAGAATGTATGACAAATGCTAAGCAAATTATCTTCTCAATGTATAAGATCTTGCTATAATAGCATATTAACTTTAGCATATTGCATGATTTCTATTGTGTTAAATTTATCTTGTTCTTCTTAATTCCTTTAAATTTGAGAACTTACAAATTAAGGAATGCACCAATAAGCTTTGTTTAAAACAGAACAAATAATCCCAAAATGACTACTTGACTTAGTTAGGGTTTTCATTGCTGTGAATAGTCACAATGACCATGAAAACTGTTATAAAGAAAATGTTTAATTGGGGTGTATTGCAGTTTCAGTGGTTCAGTCCATTATCATCATGGCAGGGAGCATGGTGGCAAGCAGTACACTTGGTATTGGAACTTATTTTAGAGTCCTTACATCTTGATTGGCAGGCAGCAGAAAGTCTACTGAAATAGTCGGCAGTATCCTAAGCATAGAATATCCTCAAAATCAGCCCACACAATAACATATTTCCTCCAACAAGGCCATACCCTATCCAACAAAGTCACACCTCCTAATAGCGCCACACCCTATGAGATTATGTGGGCCAATTACATTCAAATTACCACACCAGTTAACAGTTGGTCAGCCTTAATATAAAAGTAAGCTTAAACACCAATAAATGAATTCATATCTTGGGAAAATACTTCCATTTATGCTCAATCAAGGAAACAGTATCCTTTTCTATGTTAATTCTAAAGCAAATATATGTAAAATATTTTCAGTATTCAAGTGTTTCTTTTCTATCAGAAGGTGCCCACTTTTCTCTGTTAAATATTTTTATCATTTTTTTATTTACCCTGTGTTGTTCAAGTGGCAATAAGATCATGCTCACATTTCACACTCTGAGCAATAGGCACATTATGTTGAACATACTCTGTCCAAATATGCTTACTTTCAGAAACATTACATAAGTTGTTAGAGAAATGTAAACATAGGCTGGAGGAGGGAATGCTTTTGTAAAACAGTGCTTTGCAGGTTGAGGGCAGAAAAATTTGGATCTGATTATAATCTATGTCAGTTTGCATGCAGAGACAAAAATGCAGCACCCCATGCACTTTTATTTTTACTTGTACATTTAACTCTTTAAATTTATTTTTGGTGTTTATCTTTTTCTTATCAGCGTGCAATGCATTTGTATATAGGTCTCAAATTATTAGCTCATCCATCCACAGGTACTTTCAAGAACAAAGTGCATGACATTCTTCCAGTGTTACTCCTACATATTGTACAGATTTGTTCTTACAAGCTGGCCACCAGGCTAGAGGAATAGCTCATGGACTGGAGAGATGGCTCAAAGGTTAAGAGCACTGGCTGCTCTGCAGAGGTATTGCGTTCAATTCCCAGCACAAACTAACTGGTGGCTCACAACCATCTATAATGAGACCTGGTGCCCTCTTTGCCATACAGGAATACTTGAAGTAGAATGTAACTCTTTTAAAAAACCTGGCAACAATAGAAGTTTTTTTTTCAGTTTCTTGTGAGAAAAGTCTGATGGGTTACGGACAATGTCTCAGAAGTTTTCTCCAACTTGAATTTTCAGATGTTAAGTATTTGAAAGAGGAGGATGCTAATCGAAAGACCTTCACCGTCAGCAGCACGCTGGATTTCCGAGTGGACCGTAGCGATGACGGAGTGGCTGTCATCTGCAGAGTAGACCATGAGTCCCTCAATGCCACCCCTCAGGTAGCCATGCAGGTGCTAGAAATACACTGTAAGTAAACACACCCCACTCCCTCTGTGTCTACAATGCATTTTCTTTGTTTGTATTGAAAACCAGTATTAAATCACCTGAAGCTATAGCAAATGTACCAAAACCCCACCTGTCCTCACGAATCTGTCGTATCAAAAGGTAAGAGTCCTTTATCTGAGCGTGGGTCTTAACAACAATGGGCAATAAAGAACATATCAGGGTTTAATTATCTTAACTACATTTGGAGTTCTGACTTAATGTGCACATGTGTGGAAAAGGGTGTGTGACAACAGGGGGGTCATATCAAACTTCCTTAGTTGCTCGTAAATTGTTTTCCCTTGTTTCTAACCTTCTATATGACATATTTTAGTCTCTTTGAATGCAGGGGCACCTCTACTACATCTAAAATTATCATTTACAATTGCAGTTAAAATGTTAATTGCATGTTGTTCACAGATGAGGGTCAGTCAGTGCTGAAGCTTTTGGGCATTGTCTCACACAGCCTGATGTGCAGCCAGTGTTGTGAGTTACAAGGTGCACGGGTAACTGTTAAATCAGGGGGTACAAGCCAGATGCTAGTAAATGGTAGACTTGTAATCCATTACTTAGAGAAGTCCTGGGGATACATATTTACTAAAGTGAAGCTGAGTTAATTGTCTCCAATTGTCATCACTATCACAACAGCAATAAAAATGTTTCTTTCATTAACTTGTAACTGGAGTTTCCTCTCCTGCCTTCCAGTTCCAGAATAACCACTCAAAGGCCCAATATTAATTATAAATGTTTGGCCAATGGCTCAGGTTTATTACTATTTAGCTCTTATATTTAAATTAACCCATTTCTATTAATCTATGTATTGCCACATAGCCATGGTCGTGTTACCTCATTTTCTACATGTCTTGTTTCCTTAGTGGCTGCTTTCATCCTCTCAACTCTGCCTTCTTTCTCCCTGTGTCTCCTCTTGGATTACCTGCCTACCTTTATTTTGCCCTTCCATAGGCTAAAGCAGCTTTATTCATCAACCAATAAAAGTAATACATATCCTCAGCATACAGAAAACATCCCATATCAAAACTAGATATAATGAAACAATGTAAAGGTAAATAATCTCTGCTTTCAACAGAGTATCAAATGACAATTACAATGGAAGAAAAATAAGCTAAATGAGATGGTAGAAAGATGAAAACATGGGTAAAATCATTGCTTTGATGAGCTTACCCACACGTAATGGTGAGAAATGAATGATACAAAGTCCTGAATTAGGATCACACCTGCCACATTTATTTCTAGAAACATCAAGGCAATCAGAAAGACTATAGTAGAACTCACTAGGGCAGAATAAACAACATTAGGAGAAAATACCAGAGACATGTCTGAAACTATTGCAATTGAAAAGCAATTTGCATTGCATTATATTAGTTTTACTAGATTTTCTCCTGCTGTCCTTGAAGCAGATTCTAATACAAGCACACATAGATTTCACATGAATATTATTTCTAGTTTCAACATTTATATAAAAATGACTTTGTGAAGGTAACTGAAATAGCTTAAACTGATTATAGAAAATCGATTCCTGCTTAGATTTGATTATAAACTAGATAATTAATTCCCACAAGCTACAGACAATTTAAGTCAAGTTTGAAACATTTAAAAGATTCAAATGGATGTTTATGACCATCCCTTTATATTGTTTGTTTGATCAATGAATCTTCAGGGTACAAGAAATAGAACATACTGTTACTTTTAGAAAACCTATATTGCCATTATAATAGTTTGAATTTTAACAATTTTAACTATACTTGTACTGTGAGAAGTAATAGTATTTAAAACAATACTTCTGATTTATTTAACTATAATTCAAACATCTAATGTACAAAGTCAATAGAAATCAAGTCATTATAATTGTTGACAAACACCATCATAGCATGGTCCTTCAGATAGTGAAGCAGTTGACAATTTGTTTAGTTTTATGTGTGTTGATGGAGACACAGAAGATTAGCTGTTGAGTTTCATTACTAAGAGGCAAAATGTTTTGATTGAAATTAGGCTTGTGGGTCTGAGTATTTGTCTCAGTGGGTGTTTTCTGCAGAAGCATGAAGACTTGAGTTTGAATCTTCAGTATCTACACGAAAGACAAGAGTAGAGGCACGCCCCTGCCACCATTCCTGAGAATTCAAAGGCAGGGGAGGTCGTATGCTTGCTGCCTAACTAAGAAAGTGTAATGAGAGAGCTTTCAACTTCAATGGAGACCCCACCACAAGAAACAAGGTAGAGAGTGACAGAGTACAAAACACTGAAGTCTATCTCTCCTGTAGCCAATCCAGGAGCATGCACAGGTGAGAAATCCTTCACACACAAATACACATATGCAAACATGCAATAAAGTACATCTCAGAGAAACACAATACTTTAAAAAAATGAAGGCGGTTTTTTGCTATGCATTTGGGAGAAGGTTCCGGATTTGGTGCTATCAAGAATATAATAATATCAGTGATAGGAATTTCATGACTTGATTTGGAAAACAGAAATTTTAAAGCAGAACATAATTTGTTGATAGAAGGCACACTAACCAGACTAAGTTTCTGATAGCTGAGTTTGTGGCCTCTCTTATGTCACCTTAGGTTTTCATTGACCTTGGCCTTGTCTTCCTCCATCCCGTAGTCACAGAACAACTTTATTGTCTATACTATAAAGAATGACTATGATCATTGTATTTCAGGCTAGCTGTTAATTATAAACATCTACTGCCAAGTTCACTTTTACTTCCTTGGAAATTCAGATTGGTGCTATAAAACTCCTGTCATCTATTTGTTGTATTTTTTTATGCTTACAATATTTTGTGTGTATTGCTTTGCCAAAAATCACAGAGGACAGTAACTGAATTCTTTACCTTTTACAAAGTTTTATATTAAAGGTTCCACGTTCATGCTGAATGATGAATTAAAATAAACATTTCCTCTATCATGGATTAATATGCAAGTGGCCAGAGGGCAGAAACTAGATCAATTTAAATTATTTTTCTTAGACTGTAGCATACCATCATTCAAGTGTATGAAACTAATTAAAAAGTAACTGATGGTAATGCTAAATGTTCCTTTAAGTATACAGAACATTCCCCAGAGATGAAACAAGTATAGTAATTTGAGAGAGCAACAGTTAGTATTAAAAATTAGAGCAAATACATCAAATGGTTCAGTGTTAATAATCATCTAGGGGCAATGCCAAAATGTCTATATTTTCCTCGTAGACAAAGCAGATTACCCTCCCACATAGGCAGGCATACATGTGAAATAGATATGATGAACAAGTTGCTATCAGTTCAATAGAGGAAGATAGAATGTAGTTTTGGAAAACGGGGTAAAATAAAGTGATTAATAAATTCAGTATTCCCGGATGGTATAATATTATTCTCATTATGGAAGACCGCAGAAATGGTCCCAAATGGAGAAACACTTAGAAGAAATACTAGTGTGTTCTATAGTGCATGAAAAGAGAATATATGTATTTCTTTAACAATGTAAACAATAATAACTTCACAAGACACAGAAATCCTCAAGCCAGATTGTAAGAAGTTGGAAGTAAGAGTTGAACACAGAGCACCAAGGAACATAATGAAAATACATGGTAAGATTAGTTATAAAAGGATGTTTCAAATCTGTATCCTCATTATACAGAATTTTTAATGGAACTATCCTATTAAATACAGCAGAGCAAAATTTACTCTTCACAAAGTATTAATCATTTATTTAAATACTTTCACTTTGATGAAAAGGACTTTTTAAAATTGGAATTTAAGAAAGGGAAGAACAGATATCTTCTCTTCTGTCAACCATAAATGCTTTCTAATTTCACATATTAGGTAAGAGAAAACTTCCCAAATGGACACCATGAAAAGACACTGATTTTTTACACATGAAAACTCTTACTTACCTTTCTCACTTTGTCCATATCATTGAATGAAACATTTTATTGGTCTGATTTAATTTCTAGGAAACAGATTCTATGAGTCATATTTCATTCAATGCTCAGTAGAAATAATTTATGTGAACCAGCAGAAGACTCTGTATAGTACACAAAATAGAAGAAAACCCAGAACAGCTATTTTCTGCACATGGCACTGCATTGACATAGTTACACTAAAGTGTTACTCTTATTGAACATGAAAACCACAGGAAAATAATAGTAAAATGTCACAGTAATGCTATTTGTAAGAGAAAGCACCATAACTCGCTAGAGAGGAAAGTTAGTCTCAGTTTCTTACATTTATGCATGTGTTTTAAAATGCATTAACGCTTTCCCCATCAAAACATATGATCTTATAGTTAATTGCTAATATTGTTTTGTATTTGAGGGTGATGTATCCCCTATAGAAAATGAGTAAGTAGCTTTAAAAATGTAGATCATTAACATTTAAGCAGTAAATAAAACAATTAATATGGCTCGTGAATTATGCCCTTCATTTGAGCCCAAACATTTTATCTGAGTGACAATGGAAGGTGGTGAGTAATAACAAGGGAAGACAGGAAAAGGGAAGAAGAAATGAGGCATTGGAAAGGAAGGGAGGGTCTTCGGGAAAGTAGAGAAAGGGAGGGAACTTCAGGCTTAAGGATAGCCTTGCGCTTAAATGAGATGAGTTATGCTAGTAATAAATGAAAATATATGCATTAAATATATTCAACATAACAAAACACACGTTACCATTGGTAAATAATATAATATCTCTATAAGGAATTAATGGCCAATTTCAATTCCTGATCTATACATTTTGATAATTAAGTTTCCAGTCTAGTTAGCAGAACAATGGATAATAAAGGTATTTCATTTCCCCTTAGCGTCTTACGTTGTAAAGCTCACCATAGTGTTTCTATGGTGATTCTGTTGTTAAAACTCTTTTAGAGAATTACCTTGGGCCAGAGAAACAAAACTCACTCTTGTAAATTTTTGCTACATTTATCAACCATGAAATGTATTTCAGCTCCTATCTTCATGAATTGATTAAACATGCAATTCTGATTGTCTGT